CTGTTATAGAGGAGTGCATTAACATTCAGCTGATGTGCGCCGCTCCCACACTGAAAAAAATACACAATTTCACAGCATTATAAGCCCTGTTTATCACTATTTGTTTGTTTCCTGAAATATGAGGGGGCTCTGAAGACATAATGATGAAATACTTACTCTTGGATGGAGGAAGTAGGCAGGGGTGAGGGAGCGGGGGGGGGGGGGCGCTCACAATGAAAGAAGAAACAAAAAAAAAACCCGAGAAATTCCCCGTGAAATTATCCAGAATTAATTGGTAATGTAGTTCTGCCGATTGCCATGAATGTCAGGATTTCCTCCACTGTGAAGAAAACAAGTTATTTTTCCACTGTTGTATTGCATATTGTCACGATCCATAATTTGAGAATTACAATGATTAATTAATTAACAAGCAAATGAGTGTGTTTATTACCAACCACAGATGCTAATGTGTGGAGCAAGAATTAAGTCTAGCTCCTGGTTCCACACTGGTCTTTTTCTGTTGTGCGTTTCTCTGAGAAAACAGGTACAGATGGTTAGCGCCTGCAGCCGCTTTTTGATGTTGAACTTTGAATAATAGCTCTGAAATAACCAAGAGACCATGTGTCTTTTTCTGCCTGCGCCCTCGCTGCCCGGATTTCCTCTGTGTGACTGACAGCGGAGGACACGTGCGGTGGCACCCTGAGGGGATCCAACGGACTCATCTCCAGCTTCGATTTCCCCAGTGGTGATTCCCTGGGTACGGGCGGAGGAGGAAATGCTGGAGGCCTAGGCAGCAGTGGAGAGTGTAGGTGGACCATCCTGGCAGATCCGGGTGACACCATCTCCCTGGTGTTCACCGAGTTTCAGATGGAGGAGAAGTCAGACTACCTGGAAGTGGAAGGATCTGAACCACCAACCATCTGGTGAGTTGAGTTGTGGAGCAGCAGGGGCTGCGTGTTTGTATTTCATCAAAGTCAGTTTATAAGACAAATCAGTTTATCTCCATGTGGACACGAGTATTCATGCAGTGCACGGATGTTTAAACATGGGATTCACAGAAACTGGTTGGTATTAATACCATCAATACTACTACTACTACTACTACTGCTACTACTACTAATACTGCTACTACTACTACTAACAATAATAATAATTATAACAATGAATAATATTGTTACTGTGTTTTTTATTATTATTATGTAGGTAGAAGTAGTTATAGTTGCATAATATTAACAGCTCAGAATAAAAGACAACAGAGGAGGTTATTGCATGATCCATATATTAGAAACCTGTATGATTATTTGCTGCAATATTTAGTAAAATTATAGTTTTAACATATATGATAAATGACTCAATACTGGTATTTAAACAGCTGGATTGTTTTTGTTTTTTTAAATTTCAAAATTGCCCTGTTAAAAAAACAGTTCAATTATTTAGGACTGAAAAGTTGCCTTTTAGTTTGTACATTAGAATCTGTATAAGAGTCTGAACTGAAAGACACCTCTGCCTGGGACACACAAAAGTACATTTTTAGAGCTGTACAGTGCTTGAAACAGTTGGCAGTGGTCCTTAAAAGTGCTTGAATGTGTTTGAGAATGACCTGGTAAAAAGTGCATGGACGTTCAAAAGGCAGTGAGTGGTTACAGGGAGAACAAAAGTGTTTTTCTTTCTCCGTATTCCCTCTCTCGGAGCACTGTCAGCTTTGAGGTGAGTCTAGGGGGAGCAGGTGGGCTTGGTGACACAAGGCCACTGCCCACCAGGGTCTGTCTTAGTTCTTTTGCTAAAAAAAAATGCCTAATGAGATATTAAGACATTCGAGGGGACAAAGGATTAGAAGGAAGGTTTTGGACATACTGTGTACTATTCCATGGGAGTCAGGAGACTGTGTCGAAGGCTGCAGCACAGAGAAAGAAAGAATTACCTCCTCCATGTAAATGAGATGCGTAATGAATTTTCTTGGACATACATGTGGGGGATATTCATGTGTTGCCTTAAACGACAAGAAATTAAATCATGTCAGTAAAATAACAAATGGTTCCCTCAAGCATAATTCCAATCAATATGAAAACGTGCTACAAATCATGGACCAAATAGAGTTTTGTCTAAAAAGCAGCTTTTAGACATTTTGGTTTATGTCTCCGTGTAAAGCTTCTGACTGAAACCAAAAAATATGAATTGGGTTTGAAATGCTGTCCACCTCCTGTATTATCTTTGTGGATGAGAACATTCTCCAGGTTAAGGAGATCCTGTTGGACATCCATTATAATTGGCTGAAAGCTCTAATCAATCACAAAGCTTAGATCTTTGCTGCTTCAGTGTGACGTCACAGGCAGAGGTGAACACGTCCTACTGATACGACTGCTGATATTCAACATATCCAAAAAAATAACGTGAGTGACCAGAAGGTGGGGACATTGATGTGTTTCAGTTGACTTTATGTCACTCTTGCAGCTCAGTAAATGATCATGTAAGTAAACATCAGTGGAACAGAAGAATCATGCATGAGGTGGGTGTACTGGGTGTAGTCTGTTGTGGAAATAAAGCCACACCCACTATAAGCTGCACTACATTAAGGGTCCATCATACTGATGCGTCATTAAAGCCACTCTGAATATAAGCTACTGTTTTTTTATGAAAAGCAGCAGTAGTTTACCGAAGTAGAAGAATGAAAAACTCACTTCCATACGATTGTTTTTGCATTTCCATACTGGCTGCTGCACACACACATCTGCTCTCTGTAACAATGAGCATTATCCACACCAGAGTACTGAATGTATGTCGCATTTGGGGGTTTCGTCACTCACGGCTTTTGAAATCGGAATTGGCTTCTTTCCAATGAAAAACAATAGTGTGCAGCGGTGGAGGATGAAAAGTGTAGTTTGAAGTAAAAAAGGAAACAATTATGGTTCAATACTATTTTAAAACAAGTTCTAGTTTTCTCATGCACACGTTTTTAGAAATAATGCATCAAATAGTCAATAATGGAGTTCATGCCATTCTACTTTGATGAATGTGATAAACTTGTAAATTATGTGTTAGGCATTAATACAATTGTAGGGTAATTTACTGTGATCAGTGTGTGGCTGGAAAACTGATTGTTTGCAAAATACATTTTTATTTTTAAGTTCAGTTTATAAGAAGGACAACTCTCATGATGCAATATTTTTAATTGGGTAAAAGAGAGAGAAGCACGTCTCCTTCCATCAAATGCCAGAATGATGTTGCAAGTCTGCAGATGTCAGAAGATGTCGAGCAGAGTTCTTTCAAGTCTGGAAATCAGAGTCTAACCCAGCGAGCGTGAGCGCAGTGGAGCCATAACTTACAGACAGATAGCATCAACTTGGTCAGGTAAACAAAGAGACAAGCAAACAAACACCATTCAAAGCCAACAGTTCTGTGGTACTCGTAAAATTCATTGCTCCTGCTGCTCGTCTTTTACGAGCGTCGTTGGCTGTGCACAAGGCCATTGGACGTCTAAACTTTCAGGCATCCTAACATATAGCAGCAGCTATAGCCAGAGACAAGCAAACTGTCAATTTACCCTAGAGGGATAGACGTGGCTAATGATGATTGACGGCTTGAAGGCGGCATTCAAAGTCAAACTGAATTACCTCTTATCAACCGTTTTCAGGCAGATAGATGAAACATGTGACCTTATTTACCTTGTTGTCCTCCCAGAACCTGCTGTTCTACAAGCAGGCAACGTATAGAGCTTGCATTGACATTTGTAGCCATCTGTGAAACTACAGCAGTGACTCTGCTGAGGAAAAAAAAAACGTGACTACTCTGCCCTGCAGCGTATGTTTGACTGAAAGTTTATATAATACAACAGCAACCATCACTGGTTAAAAGTGTTTTTCTATTTTTATTCAAACTAGAATCCGATTCAGATAAATAATTATATAGTAGATGACACATAGGCGGTGACCTCCTTTGATTGACAGCTAAATTGGTCACTGTTTGTGACGCAGTAGCGATGTCCACTTTGACATAGTCTTTTGATATGAAAAGATTTAAAAGATTTTGAAACGCTCACTTTTAAATGAAATCTTACTCTTTTACTCACAGATACTTTACTAATCTGAAAACAGTGAGTTGAAAAAAATGTACAAATTAAATGATTAAAAATAATAATTTATTGACACATTGAATAGTCAGATGAAATTAGACGTAAAAAATGAAACGCTCACTTTTAAAGGAAATCTTACTCTTTTACTTACAGATACTTTACTAATCTGAAAACAGTAAAGCAGTGGAGGGCCTTTTTTAGAATATATTCTTAGCGTCTGGAAGAAAACACTTTGCTGAAAACCCTTAACATTAACAAGCACACTTTAGCACAACGCTAATTACTTCCATTCTACTGATTTGTTTTCTCTAGTATCATTTCTTAGATTTATTTTTCATTCAACAAACACCAAACCATTCAGAGAAAGGTGAGGTGAATAAACCATTTAGTGTCGACACGTCTAGGTAAAGTATGTGTTGTTATGAAATGGAAACTCATGTTTTATTTAAGCAGCCAATTTCACCAAACATTTTTCTTTAAAGGCTGGTTTAGAAATTATTTCTAATTTCTCTGAGTGGGAATATTAGATAAAGCAGGTGTGGAAGTATATTTTTCACTTTTGTAGCTTTCGTTTTTTTATCAATTGAAGATTTCTATCAGATCTCTGCAAATGAGTTTATTGATTTTGTTATTGTCATGCTGGGCAAGGGTGAGGCGAGGACACACGTCAGTCACTGTGTAAACAGAGCGACAAAACATCCGTTTCCTTTCGCAGGAGTCAATATCAGACTCTTGCTAAACCAAAGAGAACAGCTCTTTGTTCTTCTCCTGACCTTTAAACTGATTGTACAGCCTTGTTCAGAGGGAGGGAGGGATGGAGAGAGAGGAAAACATCAAGCAGTGGATTATTTATCACTTATCATTTCAAATGTAAGTTTGGGTGTAAACCCTGAAAGACAGATGTTAGATACAGTTGTTTACTTACTAACAGGGACAGAGTGAGGCTCTTCTCTGTGATTCCCACCTACTCACCCTTTCCTGTTTTGAGTGTCTTTGCAGATTTCAACATTTTAATCAAAAGTGGCTGAGTTGATTCGTTGTCATTACAGAACAAAGAACCTGCCTATTCACGCTCCGTCCACTGAATAGGAAGATTCCTTTTACAGTCGAGCGGCTAAAAGGTTCTCAAAAGAAAATTACAATATGCAAGCCCTTTGTAATTACCATATGCAGTAGATTCCGTGTCTTCCGTCTTAAATTTATTGATGGTTTTTTCAGGGTCAGGTAAAAAATATGGCCAAAAAAAAAAAAAAAAAACCCCTGCCATGATGCTGGCAGGAAAACGTTCATTAAAAGAAGGGAATTAAATTGACAGTTGACCCAGGTATTTCTCCTGGGCAATTAATGTGAGAGGCCACTGGGTACACAACAACAAATGACTTAGTGTTTTCAGGAGGCAATCTGCTCGCACTCGAGCAGCAAGTTGTATATCTCCTGCAGAGGGAGTAATTTTTTGATTATGGAAAGAGAGCACATAATATATTCAAACAAGTACTCCTGCTTGTCATATTCCATTGAATATGTGTTGGGAGTAAAAGGCAAAATCAGCAGGCCCTGTCATTTTTGGAGAAATTGCAATTGATCGCTCATTATCCATTTGGCACATAAGTAAAACCAGCCTCAGTCTGCAAAAGTAAATGAGGTCACCGAGGATTTAGGCTTATCTAAGTCTGACCTTATGACCTTACAAATCTCCAGGTGCTGGAGGTTCAGGATTATGGCTGTTTTTTACCATTGATTTTGGTTTCTGTCTGACGCTGCTGCCTTATGTTGTTGTTCTCTTCTTCTCTTCTTTCCTTCATTTAACCCTTATTTTACTTTATTATAATGTATTGTTATTATCGCTGTTGTAAAATTAGAATAATTTCTTTGCACTTTCTGGAACTGTGAAGTCCATCAGTACCAAAAGGATGTGGAAATTCCTCTGTCCATCTATTCTCAATGGCTGAAATGTAGCCCTAAATCCTCTCAGAGCCATGGCATAGAAAGAATTTAACATCAACCCAATAACAGACAGAGATGGTGCATGGACTAGACTGAAAATATTAGCAGACAACGGTCAGATATTAGAGTTATAACTTCCATATCAAAGTTGAAAAGTTATGTCTGAATATATGAACATATTTGTTTTCTATTACACTCTATGTAATATACTCTATGTACACTCACAAAACAGTTAGCTGCAGATATCCACATCAAAATAATCTGCTACGATCATTTTAAAAGCTCACATTTCTGGAAGTAATAATTACTCTGACGAAAATCATGGCACAATCTTAATGAAAAAAAAATCTAATGCTGCTGGCAGAGGAGCAGATTGACTGCAGCCTTCTTCTCCGTGAGGGATGGACACGGGGCAGACACGACAAATCGTGGCTGCACACACATCCAGTGTGGCCTCAGCATCCGTCTTCAGAGATAGGCGGCAGCGCTGAATTATGTGAAGAATCCATTTTTTCCGACTTGGCTTTGCCGTCGTTTGTCACTCAGTATTCACTGGAGGAAAACAGCAGACAGCAGCCACTTGTTCTTATCTGCTGTAAGGAAACTGGGCAGCCCTCTGCTCAACACTAATGCATTTGTTTTCATGACAGTTACAATGACAAGTACTACTGATGTGGATCAATATGTTGCAAAGAAGCTCTGATTTATTTTTTGTACCTCTTTAGCTTTGGCTAATTTTCTTTTTTTCTTTGAGACAACATAGTATAAATGAAACATCAACTGTATCATCCAGTTATCAGATGAAGAGCAATTCCAACTTTGCGTTGTTCGTGGATATTTTATATATTTTAACACTTTGTTTTGCAGCTCATTACAGTCTGGTGTCACATCAGATGCTGTGAATCGTCCCTGACATCTGCTCTTTGAACAGATTTATGTGCATATGGGGCAAACTTGCTGTAAGGAATACATTACCACCATAGATAGTTGGTGTCAAAATAATGTCACACTATATATTTTTTTATCTTCTTCCACTTCCCCGCCGAGACATTTTTTCTGCATGCTGACAGTTATTTTAAAAATTAAGGCTTTTCTGCTTTTGGAGATCCTCTGAGGTCGACTCGGAGCTGTCATTAAGGCCTTATTTACTGTTGATGGCACATCATCGTTCACCAGTTCGATCGCATTTTACTACTGTGACACCTGTAACTTCACCTCTGCTGGTCCTAAATTTGTAGCATCACTCGTGTGCTGCCTGGAGCATCCGAGCACCTGATGGCTTTACCTTTATTGTCACTATCTATTTTCTTTTAGACTACTTGCAGGAATCTTGTTATAATTTCAACCTTCCACTCCAGGGAAAACATAGGTCATGTCCTTTAAATAGTACGGTTACTTGCAGGCTGATGTTTTTTTTTTTTTGTTCCGCCCTTACACCTGAGTGATTAGCATATTATCAATTATGTGCTTCTCCAGAGAAAAGGTCAACTTTTGTAAGAAAATCAATGTTTTTTCTGATTGCCTTTATTAAAACACTAATTTCCCTTGAGGCGGATAATTAGAAATTAAAATACTAACAATAAGGGCTAATATTCACTTGATTCCATCCATCAATACACATTCATTACTATTTACCTATTTCTTAATATAACTACAAGGATTGAATTGGTGCAATGTTTTTATGAATCGATATGAGTACGAGTTTTTTTTTTTTTCTGTGCCATCACACGTACTTTAGGTTGGGTTTCAATAAGAGGGAGTGAAGAAGAATCCTGTTCATATACATATACAGTCACATATACAAACACAATATAATTTCTCCTCTGCATTTTACCCATCAGCCTATTCCTGGGGTGCAGTAGTGGCTAAATATTTCAGTTTTTTTTTGCAAATTTAAAGTTTTCAAATTGACAGTTTCTTTACATCAGAAAAAATATTACCAAAATTAATTAAGTGTAGGTAATTAAAACAATATTAGAAAACAATGAAGTAAAAATAAACTACATTGAGGCACGGTGGCTGACCAGTACACAGATGGTTGAAGTGAAAAGTTGTTACAGAGTATTGGATCCCTGGACCAGCTTCCATACTGCTGCGTCCCTACTTACTGTATTTATTAGCCATGACATCATCAGGCGTTCATATCACGGACAGTTGTGTTCTACAGTAATTAAATCATATTCACTTATTATAGTCAATAGATTTTTGTCATAGTGCCAGACCTCGTGCATTGGCTTTTACTTGAGTGTGGCCTTGACATCGGTCAACAATAATAAACACAGCTGGACTGGTTGTCCTTCATTTAAAATGTGAATTAAAAAGTCTCTCTTCTTTCCTCTCTCTCTCTCTCTCTCTCTCTCTCTCTCTCTCTCTCTCTCTCTCAGAGTATGGAGGTGTCTTCTTCTTTCCATGTCTTTCTGGTTAGTTTCTGTAGTAAATGTCAGACAAATTGATCAGAACAAGAGATTAAAAACACACACACGTTTAAGCAAACGCTGTCACCACACAGACCCGAACCAACAATGAGTTATAGCTCTGTTTTTATTCTGTGCCAATTTGGCAACACAGTCCTCACTATATCATGTGACTTCCTGCCTGTCCATGGCCTCTGTTTAATGGCTTAAATGGCACAAAAGCACACATTGTGTACAATTGTGTGCTATAGTAACTGTGGTGTGACAGGGTGTGGTGCAGCGAGAGCGGAGCAGTAGAGAAAAGACAAATGAGAATGCTCCTGGTGGCTTTAAATCTGTATGATTACAGCATTACCGATGTTATGGCCACACGCTGAACGAAAACCTCTGATCTCACACTTACGGAGACACAAAGACAAAAACGCAACCCTATCATAACCCTAGATTGCTACGCACAAAAGACCGTTTCTGTTATCCTGACCGCATCCACCTCCAGACTCCCCCACAGCAAGTGACCAAAGACCTGTGTAGTTGCAATAAAAACGAGCCAGCTAATTTGTTTCCTTCTCTTTGTGGCTTTTTTTTTTTCAGGCTAACGGGAGTGAATATTCCCGCACCCATCATCAGCAACAAGAACTGGCTTCGGCTGCATTTCGTGACAGAAAGCAACCACCGCCATAAAGGCTTCAAGGCTCAGTATCAAGGTAAGACACGATGACATCATTCTCCTTCCTAATAAAGGCCTCAGCTCTCAGTAAGAACTGATAATCGCAGAGAGGACGCAGTGTAATTGCAAAAAGATGTTTTGATCTTTTGTAAACTGAATATCAAGCAGATAATAATATCCTCTCAGTAAAGGCCACCAAGGCTTTTACAGTATCAAACCACTGACTTCAAAGAAGCGTTAATCAAATATTTGAGCAATAGCTACTTCATATACTCTGCAACTATCTTTGATTAAAAACCCAGCACGAGAAATTCAATAAACTGGGGCCCTGAGAGCGTTTTTGCTTCAAAAACTCCTAAAGCCTGACCTTTTGCAGTCTGTTGCATACAGTGTTGCTCATTTCAGATTATGTTATAGAAATAATTTCATAAAAATTTCTTTTGAGGTAAAAAAAAAAATATATATATATATTTTAAGCAGAAACATCTCCAGTGAAGACCAGACAGCAGTCCTTATGTTAAGCAGAAACATCTCTAGTGAAGACCAGACAGCAGTCCTTATGTTGGTGCCTCAGGAGTAATCCAGATTTTTTTTTTAAAGTCATGCACTGTAGTTTTCTTTTGTGGTTTTTTTAAATATCATATTTTAAATATTCTGCAAACTGCTTGAAAATACTTGAATTCACTGACGACTTGATGGGAATCAGCTTGAGCAGTCGCTAAACTAAAAAAAATACCGTCACAAATAAAATTAACACAATTTTTAGCCACTCAAATTCCGCACCATATGTTAGGAAAATATGTTGTCACTTATCTTTCCATTAAACTGCCTCCTCTGTATGGAAACTGATTTGCGTGAATTACGTACTGTTTCAAATAAAAAAACAAATACAAAGCTGACAATGTTGGTTTTGTCGTAATTTTATATTATCTACGTGGACCGTGTTTTTTTAAGACATCCCAGATTAAACAGGCGCGTATTTTACGAGGAAAGCATTTTGGTAAGTGGCAAAAAACCTGTTTGTGTTTGTGCACCCGCTGCCGGCCATGTTTTCACAGTATCTAAGTATCAAGCTGCTTCTTCGCATCAGGACTCTGTAGCAGCAGTAGTCACCGTTTTTCCATCTTCAGGTGTTTTTTGTTGACACTGAACCAAATCCAACCTGCAATACGTTTTATTTTATTTTATTTTTAATTAGCGCTAACAGTTGGATAAAAATGTTAACTAATTTTTTCACGACTGATCATAATTAATCGTTTCCAACATTTTTCATGTCTTTCACACTTTCAAATGATGACATTTTTAATATAGAAAAATATAAAGGAAAATAGGCAATGTGTATGGAAAGTATGGACTTTGTAGTAGAATAGTGTGTGGAGTTACTGGATATACAGTGCCTCAAATTCTTCCCAAGGGTAAAAATGCATTAAAGGTTTTAATTAAATACAATAAACATGTTTATCATATATTTTTGGCAGCCACACCTTATAGTGTAATGAAGGCAAGAAAATGTATATATTAATAACTATAAAAACCATAACCAGATACCTCACTTTTCAAAAAAACAAAATACTTGCTGATGACATGGCTACAGGGCGTGTTAGCGTTGTTAGCACTGTTTCCTACGAAGATGCTTCACAATTTAAATCATCCCGTGGCTTTGTTTCCTCCCATTATCTTCATTTCTAGCTACACAAATTAAATTGACTTTTTTCCAATCAATTTCCGTCCACTGTTTAATATGTCTGAGTTATATGAACAGACAAACATGGAAAGCTAATTACATTTTTATAGAATTTCCAAAGTAACCCTCAGGACTGAATCAGAGCCACTGATTTCATCTCTCTTCAGAAAACAATTCCATGTTGCTGTTCCTCACTGAAGGAAACACTTGTATGGCATCTTCTCATATTTATTACTGTAACTCATGTCGTCTAATGAACTCTTTCTGTCCTGCTCTTCCCCAGTGAAAAGCTCAGGAGAGCTGAAATCCAGAGGCGTCAAGTTATTACCAGAGAAGGAGAACACCAACAAACTCTCTTTGAGTAAGTTCTTGTGTTTTCTTACACAACATCTTCTTTTCTAAGTTTCATTGTTTATGTCCAACTTGCTTTCTGGGTCTCTGTTTCTTTTCTCGTCTGTTTTTTGCTGCATCATTTGCTGATGGAATTAGGCTGTAGTACTATATTTGCAGAGGTGCACTCCTTTCTTTAGGATATCCCAGTTCTCCTGCAGTTTCAGTCTCACTCTCTGTAAACCTATCTAGTCCAGGCCAATGTATTTATATCAATCCAAAAGGCCACTGTTTTAGCACCATCTTCAAAATCCTCGGATTCGTGCGTTTTGTGCTGTGTGACCGGCGTACACCTTCACCGGTGTCATAAATGCGTTCTAATTGCTTGTGCAGCTTTCTCGTCCACATAAATCTGTAGTTGAATTGTAGATGAACTCCACACGGTGCTAAAGATTGCGTAGATAAGTGGCTGTTATCTTTATTACCTTATGTATCACTGATTCCACTTCCACATAGAGACGTGAATAATGCTAAGGCCTGTAATCTCTTTCTTCCAGACAGTCCTGTATATAATTTAAAAGACTGCGTAGAGATGCTCGGTTTGCTCAGTTGATTCATCACAAATATTTGAACCTGTAAATGTATTATAACCTGCAACAGCTAAGTAGGAAGCTAATACGCTTCCTGAAATGTGGTTGTCAAAAAATGCTGATGGAGTTGAGGGATCTTTTGTTTGTGTTTAGGTGGGTGTGTGTGGGTGTGTGTGGGTGTGTGTGTGGGTGAGAGAGTGAGAGATGGGGAGAGCAAAATATTATTTTAAAATATGTTAGTTATAGCACTACTCTTGATTTATTTACATTATTAAATTGATTGATTGATTGATTAAAGTGTATATGTTTATACATATACAAATATATACAGTATATACATGTATAAATATATAATAGTACACACTGTTTTTTAGCCGGAACTCTGGTTAAAAAAAATAGGATTTGGTAAAGTGGAGCGATAAATAGGAGAAAGTGAGGAGGAATATCTCCAAATCGAGGAAACCACCGTAGCCTGGCCGTCGCCCACTACATCAAAAATACATCTGGAGGCGGTGTTGTGTAAAGAAGTCAAACAATAGTTTTCTGCAAAAATATTTCGTGCGGCTGAGTTCTATCAATAATAAAAAGACTAAAAGTCGATGTCAGTTCGCAACTTTTCCCTGGAATTCTGTTGATTTATTTTCCAGCAGGACAATGCCAGAACCCATTTTCTGCAAATTACCAAACCATGTTGTTGTGGAAACACAGTGTATGTGACCTACTGTCGTGCCAGGTTCATACAGCCAGAATTAGTTTATTTTCAACCTCCAAACTAGACAGCAATTAAAGTTCCTATTTCCTGTTCTATAAAAACCTGTGACCAGAAGTAAAGGGGATGTGGACCAATGATTCTTGATTTTTTTTTTTTTTTTTTTTTTTTTTTTTTTTGGGGGGGGGGGCTGTGTCGTCTCAAAGGGACTGTACGTTTCTGATTAAATTAATATTTTAAAAATGTAGTTTTCTTTATAGTGATTGATATGTTTCAAGTGCTTTTTTGGACAGATACAACATTAAAAAACACTTTCGAAAATAAGGTTTGTAAATAAAGGATTAAACTAATATGGATATGAGACTATACATAGTATGATCTATTTATACAAAGTTATTCATATAAATGCTATTTTGTGTTCTGTGCATCATGTTTACCACAGCTGACATTAGGTGATGATGAAAAACAGATAACCTAAACAAATCACTCAGGCAGATGTTCAACTGTTTTTTAGTGTTTTTTGGATAGTTTTTTTTTTGTTGCTCTAGAAAATTAAAAGTGTCTCCCTCTCAACATTCTTGGTCTATAATTTTATATTTTCTCTCACTCAGTGAATGAAGGTGGAATCAAACAGGTGTCTAATTACTGTCCTGACCCAGGGGAGCCGGAGAATGGCAAACGGATTGGCTCCGACTTCAGGTGATTTGGTGCTTCACTGGTTGAATTGAAGGAACTTGGATTTGTGAAGAAGTAGTAAAAGAAAATGTGTGGAGTGTGAAAACTGTTTGAAAACTGTCATTTGGCAGATATTTCAGGTATTTCCAGAAGTCGCCTGCGGGGACTGCAGTTCATCCAAATACTATAGAGAATATTTGCCGCACACACAGCGCATGGTCTTTCAGGGGCACAGGAAACATAAATTCTTTGCTGCCATATTCCTTGACATTGAACAGACTTGAAATACTTTTTTGTATCCCGTTCAAAACGACACGGCGAACAAATGTAGCTTTAAAAGTCTATTGTTGTAAAAGGAGCCTCACAGACTTACACTGGAAAATTACCCGCTAATGCAAAGTCCATGCACAAAAGAAGGTAAAATTCAGAGGAAACAGTTTGTTATACAAAAAGAAATCTCTTTTTCATTCAGAGTCTTTCTGTTGAAAATGAATATGGTAGTTGTTAATAAAACATTAGTGAATTTACTGACTGATTTTTATAGTAGATGCTTGTTTGCGTAAAATATAGTTTTTCTGCCTGGTCAGGAGTCAGTTCCTGGCTCAGTGCTGTCTTTCCCAGACATTTAGTCTGTCTTTGTTATTGTCTCAGCATCGGAGCGACTGCTCAATTTACCTGTGATGAAGACCATGTGCTACAGGGCTCCAAAATGATTACCTGCCAGCGTGTGGCCGAAGTCTTCGCAGCTTGGAGCGACCACAGACCCGTGTGCAAGGGTGAGTGACGCTCCTCCAGAGCCAGAAATGATACAGTTTGATTAAGGCAGCGCCTCTGGATACAGACTGTGTGCAGATGCAGGGAAGTTCATTTCTGTTAATTATGTATAAAAGCCTCTGCTGCAGCTCTCTCTCTGCCTTATCAATCCTACAGGCTGTCCCTGTTTTCAAATACCTGGAGCAACTTTAAGATTTTGATTAATGGAAATGTAGCTAATAGACCTCCTCAGTACCTCTACAGTACAAACAGTACATTACCTTAATGTCATTCTGCAACAAAAGACCTAGTATTACAGCGCCACCATCGCTTTTTACATCATTATTTAAAGGAACAATCTGAGCTGTGACTTGGTGCTTATGCAACCGATTAGTGTTAGTGTCAGTGTGCGGTTGTTCTGCAAGAATGTTTTCTGATTGTATTTGTGTTCCTTTTTACACTGCTGCAGTCAAAACATGTGGGTCGAATCTACTGGGACCATCGGGGACGTTTACCTCCCCAAATTTCCCCATCCAGTATGAAAGTAACTCCCAGTGTGTGTGGATCATCACTGCCAGTGACCCAAACAAGGTACTGGATCGACCACCGCTTCTCTGTTGTTTTTATGGTGGTGATTTGTGAAACCCCTGGCAAGTGTCAGTATTTTGAACCAAATTTTTGGTTAAAAATATGATGTTTGGTTTTAGTATTAAAATAGGGTAGAAAACCAAAATGAAAAAATAATGCAGTCCCATTATGAAGATATAAGAATAGTACTTGTCAGAGCTGTTCATGATTCTCTAAAACATGAAATCTAACATATTAATCCATTAAGTCTGAATTCAATGACTCCTCAGAAAGTGCTGTTCATTTTTTATTCTCATTAGTTTTATAACAAACACTAACGAGCATGTTTCTGTTGCTCCACTGACTTAACTCTGACCGTTCCTGGAAGAAAACGTTTCCAGCGTCTGCAATGTTCCACCAGGGATTCACCTGTGTGTCTGGGCATTTCCTGTCTTATACGCATATATAAATGCATTATTTTCCAAGGACTTATCAAGGTTTGAAAAAAGGTTGCTCAGAAAATGTGTGTTTCTGGACTCAGGTTCATTGTGAGAGCACCTTATTACTTCAGATAGCCAGAGATTGCTTATTAGTTCACACTGGGCAACCTGAGTGACCGTTGCTGTGGATAATTGACTCGTTCAATTCATTCATCTAGGGGGAGAAATAATGATTGAGTGAGATTAAGTTTTCCCCAAGGTGAAGAGGTCAAAGCCGTTTGTCTTAATGGTCGCTGCTGCTTCCCTGGGTGGGTTCGCCGCTCCTTTAATTATATGCACAGGAGTGTCTGTGAAATTCGATGCTACTCCTACTGTAATAAACTATAATCAGCTGGTGCTCACTCAGAACTCACCAGGACTGGCCGTTACCACAGCTCTGGTCTGCGTGGTCCTCTCCTAAGCAAACAAGCCGTGGACTTGGCACTGGTTCGCAGTCCATTAGTGTTATTATGGTAATTAGGCTTCTGCGTACATGGTAGAGAAGCTGTTTCACACGGATATTGAGCAGGCATTGTTCTCCCAGTGGCCACAAAAAGGACGCTAACAATGGTGGTCATATGTTTGTCACCAACAAGTGAAGCAGTTGTTTTTAGACAAATGTTTAGACAAAGATGAGATGGGAGTTTATCGTGTGATTATTTCAGGGATTAGTTAAGTCTGACAGGAACAAAACTAAAGGCTGATAGAATTTTTAAAAAATGTAAAATTCTATCTGTGTAATTAGTCAATATTAATTAGTTTATTGCTTTGACACTTGATTGACAGCTTTGATGGGTGTTAATGATGGTCCTCTGCTTCAATGAGGTGTGTACCATAGCAATTTACTATGTCATTAATTACCCAAAAACCCTACATAATTAGCAGTGAGCAGCGGTGTATAAAACAAGCTGGTATGAGGTGTTGTGTCTCAGATGTACAGTGGAAGTTGATGTTTTCTTCTTGGTTTTCTTAAGTATTTCAATTAATTATAGTAGAGTTATATCTATATATTTATTATTATATATATTTATGTATGTATATATATATAAGTTTAGATGTATTTATGTATGCATGTGTACATATATGTATCGATTATATATATACAGTATATACAGTTTACAAATGTGTAACTCATTTCTGAGTACTTGTAACAATCACCATTCAGTTGTCGAGAACTAATTGACTAATTACATTCTCTCAGATTAATTAATGACATGTGGCCGACATGTTCCAGAAGCAGATGCTGATGAAGCTCTGGTGTGAAATCTCACATGATGTTTGACAACAACAGAAATAAATAAAACACTGAGAAAACACCATAGAACACAATTAACGGGTATCAAATCCTGACATGTTACCATTTGGTGTTTTCTATTTTTCTCACCACAGGTTATCCAGATTAACTTTGAAGAGTTTGACCTTGAAATAGGTTACGATTCATTAACCATTGGAGACGGAGGGGAAGTCGGCGACTCCAGAACAATAATACAAGTGTAAGTGCCAGAGTATTTGAATGGTTAGATTATGTATAAAGTTCTTCCACTGCCAGACGTGGTTGTTATATTGATGACTCCTGGTCGTTCCGTCCTCAGGCTGACTGGCAGCTTTGTCCCAGACTTGATCGTCAGCATGTCTCATCAGATGTGGCTCCATCTCCAGTCTGATGAGAGCGTTGGTTCGATTGGCTTTAAGATCAACTATAAAGGTACGAACTCCATCATCTGCAGCTTAACACTGTATTCACTGCTTTTCATTTTTATTTAATTCCCTCTGCCTGACTCTCACTCTCTTTTAGTCTGTGCCTAGAGATGTTAATTCCTCTAATTAATTTTTAGAAAAGTTGATACTTGCTCTAACACAGCAATTATAACTAAATTCTGAAGTTTGGTTGAATGCTTTCGTGAGGCGTGAAAATATTTCAGTGGCTCAGTGAACCCAGTTCATTCTATTAAGGACATAAACTTATTTACAAATTATTACCAGCGCCACAAAAACAAAATGGGCTGAACTATTTTAGAATTCATCCTTATTAGACATTACAATCTCTTGGGAGCTTATCATAATAATTTTTTTCTGGTGTTCTGGTTATTTGTGCCAGTTCTTGCTGTTTAAAAGACTGCTCCATACAGTAGTCTGCAGCCAGACCACTGTATGGAGCAGATGTGGGCTGCAGGCCCAGCCAATCATTTTGTCTGAAAAGTCACAAATTTGTGACTTTTGTGACAGTGAGTCCAGTTTCTTTCTTAAAGAATTTCCATCTTCTAAGATATAACCTGACCTTGTTAGCTGTATATGTTCACATCCAATGTCACAGATACAAATACGTGCATACTCCTTTGTCCAGACTGAACCTCAGATGTTCATTTTGATGCCCAAATAACCCCAATAAACCAGTCTGTAACCTGTGACTCATCGACTCTTTGCATTGGCTACTAAATTCAATCTGGTTCTCAAACTAAACAGATTCCTCACTACATCAGTCTTACAATCAGCCAGTATGCTTGGTAGATACTAGTACGCCCTGCAGTGTCTGCAGGCACCGACTTATCAGTGACTGTCAGAAAGTTTTAACTCAACTTCAAATGTCACACTTTTAGCTTTTTTTTTACCCATAAAACATCATAATGTCAGAGTCTTCTTTGACCTGAGGTCAGGTGTGAGGTGTTGAGCAGCAGTGTAGCGAGCCGACGGAATGTTAAAAATGGGTTACATTGTAGAATTTGCATCTTGTGCTTTTCTAGTATACTGTATACGAGACTGTGTAATACTACTGCAGTATTTAATGAATTCATACTGCTCTATGGACTTCATTTAAGCTGTTGAAATGTTTGTTTGGTTCTTGATGATTTTTGTTCAGTGATAACGTAATAAAAATCTCTCTTTTGGTGTTAAAGGTTCTAGACCTGTGTATTAGATTAGGTATTTCTATTCCCTCTGCAGTTTTACTTTGTCTCTGTTACTACAACTCTGTAAAGTGTTTCAGACATTTTGCCAACGCATCTTTTTCTGTGTCATTTTGCCCGTTTAACAAAGGTTTAAGTGGTTTTTCTAAACTATAGATTTCTGTTTTGTGTTTATTTAAGAAAGAAACAAAAGATTAAATTTTACATACACTTATTTTTTCTCTCTGGTTTCTCTAAAATCCTTTTCCCCCCAAACAGAAATTGACAAAGAGAGTTGTGGAGACCCTGGTACACCTCTGTACGGCTACCAAGAGGGCAGTGGTTTTCTAAATGGAGATGTTCTGCGCTTTGAATGCCAGTTTGGATTTGAGCTCATCGGGGAGAGGACAATAACCTGCCAGAACAACAATCAGTGGTCGGCTAATATCCCCATCTGCATATGTGAGTCCAGCACTAAATTATTTCGCCATGGCTAATGAAGCTATTACTTATACTCTTGGAAAGTTCACAATGACATTAAACTATTGGAGGATTAATTGGAGTGTTGCTAAATGACCATGCGGTGCGCCGTGTGTAAACAGCTTCACACGTAATGTAAAATAGAAAATTGATTGCTTATGCGCCGTAGTTATTTGGGGTTGAGTTGAAAAAGGAGGTAGAGTTCACACAGTTAATCCCAGCAAGTACTCATGAGAAGAGAAACGTGTGCTGTACTGTACATTTTATTTTTCCAGTGACAAACTAAGTGCTTCTGGTGAGATTCACTGTACCTAACCCATATCCATAATAAAAACCTGCTTCCCTGAGTTTTTAAAAAAAATGCTAACTGTGTCCATTGGGACAAAGTGCAGTAATCCTATGCACCTCTACTGCTCTGTAATTTTGTACAGTCTTCTATGTGTATCCTTCTTATTCGGCCCTCTTGCTACAACAACTCAGCACTCATGGGAGCGCTGCAGTCTCCTGATTGCTGAGCTAGTTATACACAGCTGACATAATTCTGTACTGATCCTCGTGCAGGATCCTGTCATGACTGAATCCACAGGGCGGTCTGAGTTCTTTCTTCTGTTGCTGTACAACAGCTTTTCTCATTTGTTTAGAAGTCATCGCTAATATATTTTACATCTTCCATTACACAGTTCCCTGTTTCTCCAACTTCACCGCTCCCATGGGGACGGTGCTGTCGCCCGACTACCCAGAAGGCTATGGGAACAACCTCAACTGCGTGTGGCTGATTATATCTGAGCCAGGCTCTAGAATTCACCTGGCGTTCAATGACTTTGACCTGGAACCTCCCTATGACTTCCTCACTATCAAAGATGGCGACCAATCAGGAGCAACAATATTGGGGCGATTCTCGGGCGCTGAGGTTCCCTCTCATCTTACCTCCAACAGTAACGTGCTGCAGCTGGAGTTTCAGGCCGATCACTCGATGTCAGGGCGGGGCTTTAACATCACCTACAGCAGTGAGTCATCGTTCAGTCGATTTGTTTTTCTGCTCAGACACTTAGAGTATTACAGTATAAATGACTATTATGAAGCATCATTACAAACTGTACAGAAACAGAACTTAAGTAAAAAGGTTAAATTCATCATCCACGTGCCGAGAAGAAGCGTTAGCACATTCAGTACTATGGCACATCTTCAGGTGTTTTCCTGAAATTGCTAGTGTGGTAGCAAAACAAATCTTACACTGAAATAAATTGAAATACCTCAACGCTGCTAACATTGTTGACCTACTAAAATGAACTGTCCTCATGAGGACAAGGAGACACTGATCTGCAGTAGGAGAACACAACACTGGCTGAAGGATATGCAGCTTGTTGAAGGGAAAAGCCATCATGAAGTATCGGATCGCTGGATCGCCACATTTGAAGTACAACTATGAGTATTCGATTGAAATATTGGACCCTGGATTTAGCTACTATTACTAGATAATGAATGAATTATGTCTCCTCTGTACCTATACATTGTTGTGTGCTTTGTGGAGCGACCTAACATCCAATAATTACCTCAGGGCCTGCTTGTAGGACTTGTGTTGCCTGCAGAGCTCTGCTCCATTGTACTTTATAAACAATACGATACCCTGCCACCTGAGAAAACCAGTGCAGAGAGGCATCAAATACAGGCGGCTCAGTGAGGGTTCAACCTTTTGTCAGCATATCCTGCTTCTGCAGGAACCCTTCCGTAAACATGGAATGAGGATTACTGCTAAATCTGCAGGATTTGTACACATACGGACTATATGGCGTGTGTGAGGGGGTGTGTGTATGTGGGTTGTCCAAGGTCCAATGTGCAGTATATTCAGGAAGAAATAACATGGCCCATAAATAAATAATAAACCTGTTCACAATTGAACATAAGCAGCTGCTGTGTTCAAAAACCATCTACAGTAAGACACTATAAGGTGGGACAATTACAGCAGAGCCTTTATGGATAGACAAACAACTTCAGGTGATTATTTACATATTTGTTTCTGTTTTGGTAAATGAAACTCAATCTTGAAGTGTTAGCGTTTACTGACCTGGTAATCTGACAGCAGGTTAGAGATTCAAAACGCACGGAAACTCTTTGTCTTTTACTTAAATTCCTGTTTTCTCCAATGCTTTAAGACAAAGGTTGTTGTCTCTCCCAGGTTTGCAGTGAAAACACCTGTTTGTTATTTTTTTTACTCCCTCAGACAGCTGCGTTCATTTCCCTTATCTACCTACTCCTCCCCACTGACACAGCAGCGTTTGTCACTCGATCTTGTTGTCTTTCTTCTCATTACAAGCTTTTGGCCGTAATGAGTGCCCTGACCCTGGCATACCGTTGAATGCCAGACGCTTTGGGGATAGTTTCCAGCTGGGGAGCTCCATCTCTGTAGTTTGTGAGGAGGGCTTCATCAAGACACAGGGGGCTGACACCATCACATGTCATCTGGAGGAAGGCAAAGTGATGTGGAGCGGACTCATTCCCAAATGTGAAGGTACTTTAATGGAATAGCAAATAACAAAAACATGCTGGACATAGAGGACAGATGTATTGTCCGGAGGAGGAGGAAAAGTGTGGAGGTTTTTGTGGAACACTCAGCTCTGAGCTGTTTTTCTGGTATTTTTAGCTGTTTGTGTAACTCCAGCCCTTTTTGTGACTCATCTCATGTTTTTGTACTGAATGTTGGTACAGAGAGATTACCCTAGGGTGTTGTCTTTATGCCAACAGGTTTCCTGCTTTATCTGTTTGCCATCCCATGATATTTCACCATGTCTGCTCCTACAGCTCCCTGTGGAGGTCACTACTCAGGTCCTTCTGGTGTCATCCTGTCCCCGGGGTGGCCCGGCTACTACAAAGACTCACTGAGTTGTGAGTGGGTCATTGAAGCGGAACCAGGACGTTCCATCAAGATCAGCTTTGACAGGTGAGTGTGACAGTGAGTGCACTGCAACAGCTCAGCCGGTACAGACAGATATATAATATCACACAAAGAGTACCTCATTCTCTCATGTACTACTGTCCAGAGCAGCTGAACTCTACATGTAACTGCAGATTTACATGCACGCTGGAACTCCAGCTGCTCTTCAATGCACATAGGAATGAATCCACTGTGACTTCAGTTCAACTTCAGTGAGAATCAACAAACAGGCTGTTTCTTTGATCACCTTTTTATGTCTGAGGTGGTGGCACAGAATATGACACATTTCCATTTTTTTTAAATGTTAACAATATGTGAATAAAAATCACAGGTATCTGAAACTGATAGGTGTATTGTTATTTGTGGAAATTTTGATAAAAGCGGGGCGTGTTGCTAAATATAAACTAGCTGTGCAGAGGTATTTCTTTTATAATTATAATTATTAAGCAGAGGTTCGAATCCATTCTCAGTAAGACGTGTCGAAAAGCAACAAAACCTTCCCCATTAGCGACGTGCAGCCCACTGCATGTAGTATTCATGTAGTTTGTTGTCTAGATTCTACACATGAGGTTAATGAGGATCGTGTTAAAAAACTACTTGCTGGCAGGACATTTCCTGCTAATTTGTTGAGAAGAAGTCATAGGATGTAAGATTTACAACTTGACTACTGACAACATGAAAGAAATCAAATTTGTAGACACTGGTTCATGCTTATTACAGGATACTTAAAAAACCCCCACAAAATTCTTTTTAATTGTTGGCATTTGAAAACCATTTCCTTTTAAGATTGCAGTAACTACTGTCACTTCTGTCAATATTCTGATCAAGCCATTTATAAAATAAATAAATAAATACACAATAAACATGCTTAAAAATGTCAGTTAGTAAATTTAAAATTCCATTTTAGTCTAATTTCTGACATTTATTATCCAAAGGTTAAAATAAAAGTTTCACTTTGACCAGACTGCTGTACGCAGGCAGATTTTTACCTTTTAAAGTTAAGGAAGAGGAAACAATCATGAAGTGTCATCATATTTTTTTTTTAATGATCTGAGGGGTGAATACATAGAGCTCTAAGCAATAACCATCACGTCTAAACGTCTGGAAGTGTTTTCATTAATATTAATAGAGAAGTTGAAAGTCTGTGCTGATGCCACTTGTTTTGTGATACAGAAATAAAATGAGTGGGAGCAGAAATGATCCAAAGTCATTTATCTTACAGTCGCAGCTGCTCTTTGTTCTTTGATTTGCCTTCACCAAACCATTTGTTGAAGGAATGTGATCTGAGGGTTTTGAATAGATAATCCGTCAAACTTCAACTATCTGTCAAACTTAATATTAGTATAATACAGGAAACAAGTATTCTTCTGACAGCCTATTCTCTAACATTCGCTGTCTTGTCTTTTTACCATTGAGGTTTCAAACTGAACTGAGCTACGATTTCCTGGAAGTACATGATGGACCCAACCTCCTCTCTCCTCTCGTCGGCTCCTTTAATGGAACCCAGGTCCCTCAGTTCCTATTCAGCAGCAGTAACTTCTTGTATCTGCTGTTCACCACAGACAATAGTCGATCAAACAGTGGCTTCAAGATCTTTTACGAAGGTGAGATAAGGCTTTTTTGGAGTGTACTTTGAAATATAAATAATTAAAATCACCAAGTGATTTTACACACGTGTTTCTTTAAGAGCAGCTACCTTTTTTGGAATTCCCAAACTTGAAAACCTTGTGATGTTATTTTCTGCAACAGTTGTTGATGCAGAACATCCTTCTGAAACTACAAAGGACTTTCTGGAGAACTTAGAAATGCGCACAGATCTAGGTTGTGTATCCTCGTGTAGTTGAGCTTCTCCTAATCCATTCGGCACACGGCTGCTGGCAGAACCTTGGCTGGGATGTCATGCTGCACACTTGCAAAACATGTTTTATTTATGTCCTTCCTAAACACGAGGATGCTTTAACTGTGTCTGTAGTAGTTGAGTGGAGAAGATCCTGCTTAGAGAAAAGCTTTGGAAGAGATGCCTGACTTTATGAAACTTTATTACATCCTGGTTCATGAACTCAGATTGTCAAATAAAGTTGACTTCTTTGGACTAGAATTACTCATAAAAATGGTCACAAAATATGAACCAGTGTTTTATTGATATTGATGCAGACTGTGGCTAAGCCTGCTACACTTTGATTGCAGTATGAATTGAATGAAACTAATTTAGCACAGACTCAAATAAAAAACATTGTTAGAGAAACAAAATATGAATTAATTTTAAGCAACTTGATCATCATTCCTGATGAAAATCATATTTCTCCTCCAATTGTGAGTAATTTCACAAATGTTCTGTGTCTTAATGATGTGTACCAGATTAATTCATTTTTCTTAATATTCATGGAAACCAGCTGGTTAAATTAAGCTGTTTTTCAAAAATTGAACCGCAAACAAAGTTGTTTTCTGTGAAAAATCAAATACCCACAATGCTGTGTGACACATTTTAATGCTTTATGACATTGTACCTTTCACTCAGATATAGTTTGTAATCATGTCCACATTATTGACTCTGAACAGATGAAAGAGCAATAACAATGAATTTATTTTAGCTGCTCTTTGTACATTATTCATATTAGTGTCCAGTCATTGAAACATTGGCTTTGTATTAGGTATAAACAACAAAGAACATTTAAGCCTGAATTCTCTGAGTGAAAAGCAACAGTTTGCAGCAATCAGTAAATGAAACTCCCTGAAATAACACTGTGGCTTATATTCCAGTAGTTGTGATTGTGACCATACATAAATGCTGCTCTGTGTGATAGAGAAGGCAAGATGAATCTGCATATGAAAAAAGAAAGGTCAAGCCATACATATATAGATGTGTGTTTTATTTGGATCTACTGCAGGAAACAACAGTCATTTTAATGAGCAGTATATTTCTTTATCTATTATTATTTATACTGTGTTAAGTCGTCTCTGGTTTTTAATTTTTTTACCCACTGTCTTTTGCAGTTGATGTCCTTTTGTGTGGACATCTGTTGCACTTTTCTTGTACAAAAGACCTTTTTAAACTAACCTTCTTTCATTGAATGAAATGTCTGAGAGACGTCTTTGTTACTGCTGCGTCAGTGGTCTCCTTAATAGTTTTTATGAAACAGAACTAATGGTTTAACAGATGGAGGCGATTTAAGCTTTTCCACCAAGTGTGTGTGTGTGTTGTTGTTCTGTCGTCTGTAGCTTTTTTACCTTTCTTTTTACTGGTTGACCTGTTTATGTGTAACTAAAAGAGAAAGTGGGAAGATAAAATAAGGTGTTATATCCTACATTTCTTAGTGTTTTAAAAAGTATGGGTTGATGCAGCTTTAAAGCTCGTATGGTTTATTTAAAATATTCCATTCAAATGTATGACTTTTTTTTCAATAAGAAATCATATTGTATAGACTTAGATTTGGTCAAACCTGGACTGAAGTCTTATTAGAACTATTATCAGAGGTTCTATGACTATAGACTATTTTAGACCAAAATGAATGGAGAGTTCATTTATATTGTTGTAATGTTGTAAAAATTGCAGTGTAGTAACACAATGAGGGGATGTAAGAGACTTTTTATATCTTCACCTGTTTAGCCCCAAGGGTCATTCTGCGGATTCTGCTCAAAAATGTAATTCACTGAAAGTAAATGAGAATGGAGGATATGATCTGTTTATTTTTTGCCTCAAATAATAGAAAACATCTTTAAAACTATGCTGTTAAAGAAGAAACAGAAAAACATCAGATTGACGTCTGATCAGTATCTGCTAAAGTGAAGAAGACAAAGTTACTGAAGTTTTAGTGAACACCTACTCATGGCATTTATAAAAGTCAAATATAACTCGTACATCAGTTGACACGACAGTTGTCCCATTTTAAACTGGTTGACTTCGATCTCTCCAGTAGTGACACTGGACACATACTCCTGCATGGACCCTGGGATCCCGGTCAACGGAATGAGGTTCGGCCACGACTTGTCCATTGGATCCACGGTTTCCTTCTTCTGTGACCCAGGATACAGACTGAGTCATGACGAACCACTGCTTTGTGAGAAGAACCACTTCTGGAGCCACCCGCTGCCCTCCTGTGATGGTACGTGCACGGGACGGTCAGCCGAACGATGGAATTACTGTTGAGATGAACAGCCCTTACAGCTTAAACAATCTGTGAACCGTGACATGCCTTTTAACCCATTTCTGAAGCGTTTCACACATGCACATACACGACACAGATGTGACCTGAGGTCCTAACTGAGTTTCTATATCACAGACGGAAATGTGCGAGTGACTGATCAAACAGACTCCATGGAAAAATACATTTTCTTTCAGACCAATCCGTCCCTCCGGTGTGAAAACATACACGGTGTGTTATGAATCATTGAATACAGGAGACAGAGTACACCCAACTTCAAAGCCAGATGGTCAGCGTGCAACTTATACTTTTGATTTTTGAAGAGAAGTGATGAGCAAGCGAATTTGGAAAGATTGATAGAAGCTCCAATAGGTAGAAACTGCCCTGGAGGTGGTTTCTATATAAAATAGATCTGTTTCTATATGAACTGGTGAAACAGTTGATTGCACTCAAAAAAAGTACAGATGGATTTTTTTACATTGTTGCAGTGGAAGTAGAACTTGCAGTGAGTGTTAGGTTGTGACTGGATAAAACCAGAAATCGGTGTTGCAACTTAGCTGGGAGAAACAAGCAATAGTTGAATTCATGTAAATATCAAATTCAGATTTGTGTTCTGGAAACCTTTTCTATTTGGTTAGCTTGTTTTATTCTGTGCCGTTGTCGTAGCTATTGAGGCGTAACAGTATAGATGAACTACTTGAAAGTCACAACTGTCTGGACAGACAAAACACAGTAATAAATTGTTGTAGTATTTCATCTGAATATCCTTGAAGGTGACATTTATACACCTTCATCCCAGTGACTTCTGTAAGAATTATTTCTTCATCTCTATCTATAAATATAACGTGTCAAATTGGTTCCCAGATCTGGATTGGACTGTTTGCCAAGTATACTCATCAACTTTCAATGACCTATGAAATTTTGCTTCATTAATGAAATACTTGATATAATTTTGTTTGTGCGTAAAGACGCAGGCCTTGATGTTTGATGCTGGTTGGAGAAGCCCAGGAGTGTTGGGGGGAGAGGAGAAGATGGTGGTTGATGTGTGCAGCTGTGGAGCCTCGGGGTTCTTAGTGATCCTCCAAAGCATCATCTGACAGCTTTTACTTTAACGCTGTGTACATGCATAACATTTCTACAGCATTTTCTGTTTGGTGGAAAGCATCTGTGCATTTGACTGCAAACCCCCCCTTGGGGCAATCAGGCCAGAGAAGATACACACGCAAAAAGACGGAGAAAAAAAAGTTATCAAGTATTAGCTGAGGTTAGCTTCCACCCAGGCTTTAAATCTGTGGGTTTCCAGTTTAGTTTTATTATTTGGTAGAACAGATCTGGCAGGACGTTCCCTGTCTGTAGTAACATGTATGAGTCATTTTTTTTTTCTTCCTGCTCAGTGGGTTGTAGGTCTGCAGTCCAATGGACCATGCAGAGATGATTGATTCTGTGTGAAGAAGAAAAAAACAAAACTACAGAATGAGTTCCAATACCATCATTTACATATAATATTTATATGATCAAATGATATGATAATATTATTGACATCACAGCGAGCAGAAAATGTAATTGTCTGGAGGTTTATGACTGAATGATGCTAGTTTTTTTAATTGATTTGTCTTATTCAGATTAGGTTCATTATCCTTCCTCTTCATTCACAGCATCATGTGGGGGGGACATCAGAGGACCTGGAGGAATCATCTTGTCACCTGGATACCCAGAGCTGTATCCAAACTCTTTAAACTGCACATGGACTGTAGAAGTCAGTCACGGAAAAGGTAGGAACACCATACGTGTGCTTTAAATAATCAATTTTTCATAATCATTTCACCTTCAAATACAGTAATTTTTTACAAAGGTTTGGCACATTTATTATTTAATGATTATTTCTTAATTTTTTTTCAAATAAAACATTCTTACCTTTAAATTAATGTCTTAATAAACTAGAGTCAAGAACGTGTTGTATCAGTGCATGTGTTTTATTAAATAGTCCCAATTGTAATTTAAATGAAAGGCTGTGAAGATTCCTTGTTACTTTTCTGTTACATACTATTTTTCTCCTCATTCATTTTTCAAATGATCTTCTGACTGTTACCTCCCAGGTGTCCAGTTCACTTTCCACTCCTTCCACCTTGAGGATCACCATGACTACCTGCTGATAACAGAGAATGGCAGCTTTGCTCAGCCACTGGCTCGACTCACCGGCTCAGACAGGCCTGCGCCGGTCAATGCCGGTCTGTTCGGAAACTTCAAGGCCCAGCTCCGTTTCATTTCTGACTTCTCCATATCACTGCAGGGATTCAACATCTCCTTCTCAGGTATGCAGGTGTATACGTCTTTTTCTTCTGTGGGTGCTGTAAAGAGAATAGTGATGAGGTTAATGGTGTCTGTAAGGAAGGCAGAATGGAGGGGAAAGATTTCAGAAAGTTTTAGTGGCTGGACTTGAAAAAATGCATTGAAAACGTCTCACTTAGTGACAAGAAGTCTAATGTGAGCAGTGATTTGTCAGGGAGAGTGGGAGCGGGCTCCACGTCGTCCGTGCCACGGAGGGTAATTAAGAGACAGTGAATTCATGCAAGTAAAAGGTGTATGACCGTGATAGCAGCGATCATCAAAGCATGTCATGTGGGTCAGTGTCTTCAGGACTAATGCGGGGGTGGTAAAGATGTGGGGCTGGAGGTGTTTACAGGAATAAAAGGGCCCCATGTAGGGTTGAAGGGATGAAGAAATGCATTGCAATAGGAGACTTAGAGGGGGAGATGAGACAGATGGTGATGCTGAGTGAGCAGGGTTGATGGAGAGGGTGGAGAGAGACAGACAGAGAGAGAGAGAGAGAGAGATATGGAGTGGGGGAGGAAAGGGAGAAAGACTCTAAACTCGAGAAAAGAGACTGTGCTTCATGAGCATCCTGGCTAAATGTTTGCCTGCTGGTTGTTGAAGTGAATCATCAAAGTTATGCAGCCATGAATATTCAGAAAGTTACTCTATGTGTGTGTGTCTGAGAGTGTCTTCCTGCCTGCCTCGTAATTAGCATCTATAGATTTCCCGATTAGGAATCATTTTTTAACATTTTGTGACCTTGGTAAAAAAAAAAAAAATGAAATTGCCAGTGCTCTGAGGCCAGAGTGTGAGCCAGGGGCTGCTATAATGTGCTAATGTGCCGAGATCAATAGCTGCTCATACAATAGCTCTACAAATGTTCAGATGTAAATTATGAGACAACAAAGGCAGGAAGTTCAACCCTGGTCTCATGCAGGCTGGGTTAACTCATTTACATTTCAGAGGATTACACCACCAACAGCCAAAAATACTGCCCACAAGGTGGCTTCTTTCTTAGAGAGCCCGTCATTTATCCAGGCAGACGGGATTTCCATCTTTTGCCGTGCATCCTAACTGGATGTGGTGTCCTTGAGCAAGGAAAAAAAGCAAAAGATTCTGGATTTTCTGGGGAAAAAAAGCAAAAGATTTTATTTAATATTTCTAATGTTATTCTGGATTTTTTGTTTTATTTTTGTTTTCAGAATACAATCTTGAGCCCTGTGAGAACCCGGGGTCTCCTCAGTTTGGCTGGCACACGGGATCCAAGTTTGGGATTGGTGACTTGCTGATGTTCTATTGCAACACAGGCTATCGTCTGCAGGGGGCGAGGGAGATTGTGTGCTTGGGAGGTGGCCGCCGTATGTGGAGTGCACCTCTGCCAAGGTGTGTGGGTACGTGGTCATCTGCTTTTATTCCTTCTTTATGTTTTTTTGTACATAATGCACATTTACTGCTAAAGCGTTGTTTGTGTCTAGTGATGTGTTGCTTTTGGGTTTTTTTAGAAAACAACGTTAGGGCCTCGACCAAATTGATAGTTGATAAATGTGGCCACCACAGGTGGAACAATTTCAACATTTATTGTCCTCCAGTGAACATAAAAGACATTTCAACGGTTACAACAGAAGACATAAAATATAACAATGGCATAAAATGAATATATGTATATATTTACTCAATCTATGTAACAACATAGCAAAACAATTGTGCAGCAAAACATTTTGTGGAAAGATGCATTATTCCCAATCATCCACTGCAGCACCCAATGATTGTTGCTTTACATACAATCTTTGATATAAATATTTATTAGAAGGATAATAAGATAGGATTGCCATGTGTTAAGTAGGCTGAAGGTAAAAGCTTAGGTCTTTGATGAAGTAATTACGAGTATTCCTTTTTTTAGCTGAAAGATAATTCCTCCTAAATACATATTATTGATTGGTTTTTGATTGTCTTCCTGATTGTCCTTTCTCTTGCAGCTGAGTGTGGCTCGACGGTTTCCAGCAATGAGGGAGTTCTTTTGTCACCGAATTACCCGATGAACTACGACAACAGCCACGAATGTGTGTACAGCATTCACGTCCAAACCGGCAAAGGCATCAACATCACCGCCGGCACCTTTCAGCTGGCACAGGGCGACGTCATCAAGGTAAACACGATGCATTTGGTCGCATAAAACTAGCAAATAAACAGAGAACCTAGAGAGGCTCACGTTAGATAGTCATATCGTTCCTTTTATTGTCGTGTATGTTTGAGGCAGAGCCTGGTGCTCGTGTAGAAAAAACAAAAACAGTGACTGTGGAAAACACTTGGAGGAATTGTTTTGCCTTGTTAGTTCGTGCAAAGGCCAGAGAGCAGCTGCGGCAGCGGCAGCAGCCTCATTCTGGAAAGAAAAGGACTCATTACTTTGCTCAAGGGCATTTCAGTAGTTTTGGTAAGCACCACTATTGTGATGTAAATGACTGTGTCATCCATGTGTTACAGCTGGAATGCACCATTTTAAGGATGCAGATGTCTAGCGTAATGCTACCATTATCAGTGTTGGAGGCCACTCTCCATGCTGTTGTAATGGTGTCGTGAAGATGTTCATTTCTTGTATGTTGTCATTTTCTCGCCATCAGAAATGTGTTAATCGTGCTATAAAGCTGAATTAACTCACATGAGACGATAAAAAACATTTGACTTAACCATGTGAGATCAGAAACATGCAGTGGCGTAGTAATGCATCTGTTCTTTTTTGTAGATTGCAGTTAGGAAAGTGAAGGAAGGATTGGAATTAATCAAGTTTTTATGAAGGATATATTTTGGTGTTTCTAACTACAATGCATGTTCTTTACCTTTCCCACCCTGCAGGGTGTGCTATAAGTACGATTAATGAACCTGGTGGCCTGTGTGGCAGTGCAGCATCCCGAAACTTTACAAACACATTATCACCACCAACTTTTACATTACAAAAATGTTATTTAGACAATTCATACACTGACTCTCCACCAAGGTTGAGCCTTAAGCCTTAAGCTACTTCTTCTTTGGTGTCAAAACAGCAGCTTTGTATTGAAGGTTCATTCGTGCCATTGAAGGGTTTTTCTTAGCCCCATCTTCTATTTCAATATGATCTAAACACCTGCACATCTGACAGAAGCAGAGACATGTCAGGTAGAGGGCAGTGCCAAAGCAGATGAACACACCACTACACACTTCTAGTGGTCTGTCAAAAACACTCAGAGTAAGAATTCAATGATTTACTGCGTTTTCCTAACGAAACTCTATAAAAAAGAACCTTAAATAAAAACGACTATTACAATATATACAGTAATTGTATTTAATGCACTTGTATACGTGTAATACAGTTTGGTTTAAATTACACCAGTTTGGTGTAATTTCAATATTGATTCACATTGATTCTTGATTATCCACAGCTGTTCAAGCAGTTTTTTAAACATAACAAATCCAGGCACACCTCCAACAGTCTCTGCGCTGACATTAATATTCCTGTTCCCCTCTTGATAATGTGGCTCTTCCAGTACACGGCATCAAATCAGTGTGAGCAGTTACGGTCACCTCAGTCTAATCTTCTCAGCTCATTAGATTATTGGTTTTGCTGTAAAAGCTCCACATAACTGCTTACTTAACGGTTGCTCATATACGTCAGTGGTAACTTTTAACTGTCCATATAAATTTGCTCCATTTTGGCCTCACATTCTGAATCAGAATAAAAGTCATCGTGTGCCGCTCTGTCTCTGTTCAGGTGTATGATGGCAAAGATGGTGGCTCTCCACTCCTTGGCACCTACACAGGCACTGTGATGCAAGGTCTGTCCCTCACCAGCACTTCCAACTACCTTTGGCTGGAGTTCTACTCCGACCAGGAGGTGACAGCAGCGGGGTTCCGGCTCATATACCACAGTAAGTCACTATTCATTTTACCAGGAGGAGGAGGAGGAGGAGGAGGGAGAAGAGGAGGGATCTCAGGCTTTTCCAAATGGGTGAATTTAGCTTCTCTTCAGGGGACAAGCATTTCAAGCACCAGAATTTGAAGGAAAATTTTTATTGAATCTCAACCCACTTCATTGTGTCTTTCACTGTTAGGGTGGACATTTAACACCATGTGCTGTTTCCTCTCCATTCCTCTTTGAATTTCTCCTTGTTAAAATCTTTCTTCCTTTCCTTTTGCTCTCACTGTTTGTGATGTGAAACTACGTCTGTACAACTGTTGTAATAGTAGTAGATCTATTTCTACTGATTTGTTGTGGTTTCCAAGAAATTAATGTGTGTGCACACATGTGCGTGCAATCCTTCACACACACACACACACACACACACACACACACTTGAGTGTTTAAGTTGAAACTTTAGGCCAAGGTTTTAAGTGGGCCAATAACAGATGAGTTTTGTTTCTCATCCTAATTGCCTTGCTGACTGTGTATTGTTGCTAACTGTTTCTAATTTATTACGGTGACGATACGAGGTTTTGGCGACACTGCATTTTGTGGTCCAATTTAAAGTGTTTTTCTTTTACCTGCTCACCCTGAATCCTTTTTATCTACCACTGGGCTTTCTAGTGAGGAATTCAACATTGTTAGTGAAACTGGCCAAAGGCCGGCGGCTGTTTTGAACTGCTCTCTATGAAAGCAAACTTTGAGCAAACTTGCTGTTAGCACACTGCAAACAGAGATTAAATAAAATAAATGAAACTTTTTTTTTCCTTTTAAGTAAATGTGCAGTTTGGCAAAATGCCTGAACTAAGAACAGTTTCTGATTCTTTTAAATTCATTAGTAACACCATCCAAACACCATGGAGCTAAAACCATTCAAGGTTTGATAGCTGAGGTATAAGCTGCCACAGGAGTTCCAGAATCACTCATAATTCAATATTAAGTAACTAATTAAAAGTCAGACTTTCTGTACATGTGTAAACTGTACATTTTCAACAAACAATTGTTGTTCTGTTTTTACTAAATAGTTTATTAACAGAATTAAAAAAATTATAAATTCCCTACTTACTAAATCCCAGTGTGAAATCTGATCACGTTCTCCATGATCCTGCGAGCTAAAGTGCTCAGATCATTTTCCTGATGTGAGAAGTATCTCCTGGAGATTTACACTTGGAATGACACTTGTTATATTACTGCAACATCTGGTCTAGGCCTGGACCTCGCAGAGAAGACGTGTAAATCACCGCAGCCGGGTTTATGTGCAACTATTTCTGCTGCATAGCACAGCACTTACATTTAGTACCTGAAAGTGAGCAACACACATAAAGGACCATGGTCAAGTTCACCTATGGTAAACCCAGGAGTTATTGCAACATTTTCCCGGTTTGTCGCCTGTTTATTTTATTCCTCTTGTAATACCCCCGGTGTTACGAGTGGATGGGCTGTTTCTCCACGGTGGTAAACGTCCACGCTCAATTGAACGTTTAATTGTGAATGTCTAATTGTGCTCTGTGTCCAAAAGGAATTTCCAGAGCCAAGTAATATAACGGCACTGTAACCTAGCATTCACTTGTGTCCCACTGGAAATTAATTCTTGAAGCTCAATCAATACCACTTTACAATACAGATAAATGAGAGTAAGGTGCCGGTTTACAGGAGGCCTATTTCAACCAGATGTGGTGATAAATGCTGACTCACTGCTACGTCCTTTTGTGTATTAACTCTTTTTATGTCTCTAATGTGTGACCTCATTTTTTTTCTAACCCACTTCTCCAGGCTTTGAGCTGTCTCACTGTGATGATCCAGGGGTGCCGCAGTTCGGCTTCAAGGTCAGCGACCAGGGCCACTTTGCTGGGAGTGCCATCACATTTGGCTGCGATCAAGGCTACACCCTGCATGGCAGCAGTATACTGAAGTGTATGACAGGGGAGAGAAGAGCGTGGGACAACAGCCTCCCATCATGCATAGGTTAGCATCCCGGCTCTGCTCCTGGGCGACCTCGTTTGGTCTGTCTTACCCTGTTGTAGTTTAAAATATTAATGAGACCAGGTTCACTCTCACACATTGTTAATCTAAGTGTTAATTCCAAAGATTTATCCCCACGTAATTGCTCTTTAATTGAAGTGTGATGAAAAAAGAGTACGCTGCTTGTCATCTTGTGAGAGAATATAAATGTCCCAAATGGTTTACTGTGGAATAATTGATCTTTCCTTTTTGTTCTCGGTGAAACACAGGGTGTAGAAAGCCATTACAAACACTATATTGAAGCAATCTGAATTGCTATTGAGCTGTGTTGCTGTGTGACTCTGCTTTTATTTGGAGATTTTGTAATTTACTTCTGTGGACCCATGAAGGAGGAGCACTGGTTTGATTGAGTCTTGAACTTAAGGCGCAGTGTTGGCTGCACTTTTCTATTCAGTACATGTAAGGACACGGGAATGATACAGCTGTTATCTGCACATCACTGCAGTCTGGAAGAGTTTCCTGCTCAAAAACAGGCTGTGATGAATGAAGGTGAAAGATGATTTTGGATTTCCACAGGAGGGCACTTGAAATGCCACACCTTCCTTTAGACTTAAATGAACCTGCATTTGTGTTTCTCTCAATAGAAAAGAGCACGTGGTCTAGAGTGGCATGTTAAATCATCAACCATTATTTTTACTTATTTTTTAAATTAAAAACTGTTTCATCAGATGATATCATGTTTTTTTTATGAATAACATTTTTAGCATCAGATCTCTCCCATGTTCTGTATATTTATATGGTGTGATATAAATATAAATATGATACATTATTAGTATTTTATCTAAACCAGCAAGAGGAAATTGATTTAACATTAAAACTGAATGGTTTATTCTATGCTCATAGCCAGGTGCAGTGCCATTTTATATTTGTATACTTTTTTTTTCTCTATGCAGCGGAGTGTGGTGGCAGTTTCAAGGGTGAGTCTACAGGGCGAATCCTCTCTCCTGGGTATCCTTTTCCCTACGACAACAACCTGAGGTGCACGTGGACAATCGAGGTCAGCTCTGGCAACATTGTCAGGTTGGTTCAAAATAAATACTCCTATAATAAATGCAAATGTATGTATTAGTTGTTATTAATTCTTAGGAGAAGGGAAGAAAAAGTTTGTTATTTTCATTGTGTAAATTCAAGCCATTTATAACACTTGTTTAATTATGAATATTATGGCTCGGAATATTTCAACAGCTACAATTAGTGTTGAGCATCATTACTCAAAGTGTAGTAATGTATATTAAAGTATCGGCAACTGTATGCATTTTAAGTTCAGAATATGGCACACAGATTTAATTCTATAAAGTAATTTAGTCTCACAACAAACGACTATTAAATAAATACAAAAAAAGATTTAACTTGTAAAGTAATCTATCGAAAAAGTCATTTTTACATGAGTAATTGTTGTTTATTCTGTCAATGTTATCTGACCGACTTCTCCTCTGTTCTTCTGTTGTAGTCTCCAGTTTCTTGCCTTTGACACAGAGGCGTCCCACGATATCCTGAAGGTGTGGGACGGTCCTCCTGACAACGAGATGTCTCTGAAGGAGGTCAGCGGCTCGCTCCTGCCTGAGGGAATACACTCCACTCTCAATATCGTCACCATCCAGTTTGAGACTGACTTCTACATCACCAAGTCTGGTTTTGCCATCGACTTCTCCAGTGAGTATCGTGTTTGAAGAGGTCACACAGTTCGTTTGTTGAAAATTTTGGTTCAAGATAAAGAGGGGAGGTTTGTAAACAGAAGACAACATGTTGCTGAACTACAGTTTGAAATCCCAGAAACAATGAGTTAAACAATAATACAACTTTGATTTATATCAAACTAATTGGCTGACATGCTTAAATTTAATTTTTACCAAAATGGTGAAAAACAGATGACATTAAAATAAACCCTAAATTCCAATTAACCCTAAATTTGAAAATGATTGGAATGATTGCAACCTTTTCTAAAAAAACTAAATGACTTACTATACCCTGCTTAAGGTTGAAAATATCAGAGCTAAACGATAAATAAACGACTGAATATTAAGCCCTGATACTAAATTGGTATTATTAATCTTTACGTTTGTGCCTTAATTGCTTCATTTTATTAAAACAATCATTCACATTCACTGTAAGGTGAAGTTTGCTGCCTTAAAATTAGCAGTTTGAAAGGTGTAACAAAACCCGTTCAAAACCCGTTGCAGAGGTTCTTAATGATGGATTTATTCATGTTTTCATTCTCCGTAGTGTGCAGGCACAGTAGGTTAATGTGAAAATCAATGACAGAAGATTCACTGCGTGTGTTTGAAGCAAGAATTGATTGTGGGAATGCGTACTGTACTTAAATACCCAGTTTGCCTCGGGCAAGTGAGGTCTGTGTGCTCGTTGGATGGTAGTACCAGCGCTCCAATCATTTTCTGCAACTCATAAAGAATTCATACTTTATTCAAATGTCAGCCACAAATCAGGGGGTCCAGATGCAGAATAGTTCTGTTAACTAAAACTCCTGCAGACGTCCTTTAGTGTGTGTGTGTTTTTGTTTTGTTTTTTTTAATACATTTTTATGAATAATCTGTCAGGAATTAAGGTCAAGTGTCTCTTTATAAAAAGGGTTCATCATCTCCTATTATAACACAGATGTCAAATGTCCCTGACTGATTATTTAACTCCCACGGTTTAGAATTAGAAATCAAGTCACATTGTGATTGTGATCTTATTTGATAAAATAAATACAGCTCTGAAGCTTTTTCTATCAATAGACAAAATAACATTATTCTTAACTCTCTTATGCCTCTCAATAAAGTCTACCAAAATAAAAAAATATATAAAGAACGGATCAGACTCCACCAGATCATTGTCACAGCTCTTGGCTGGAACACAGCTGTGGTTTAGAGAGAAAAAAAACAGATTAGAAATACAGCCTGTTTGACTGATATCAGTCTGTAATCTGCTTTGCTCTGACACTGTGGTCCACAGTCGAAGCTTTGCAGCTGTTTGCGCTACAATATGAAACTTGTTCGCTCACTGATTCTCTGTGCATCCCATGGACAGACACATGCAGAGTGCGTGTGGCCGACATGTGTGTATCTTTGCCCTTCAGGTTCGCTCGCGACAGCTTGCAGAGATCCCGGCATTCCCATGAATGGCAGTCGCAACGGGGAAGGGCGGGAGCCAGGCGACTCGGTGACCTTCTCCTGTGATCCAGGATATGAATTGCAGGGAGAGAGCAGAATCACCTGCATCCAAGTGGAAAATAGATACTACTGGCAACCCAGCCCTCCAAGCTGCATCGGTGAGGGAGAGGGAAGCGGTGTGAGTGAGACAGAGAAGTGTGCGTGTGTGGAGCTGATACAGGGAGCTGGATGGATTGAAGCAGAGAGGAGCGAAGGACGTATTGGGTATTAGTAGAAAAGAGAGATGGCGAGGAAAGAAGCGAGCACGGAGGTTGTTTTTTTTTTTTTATTAACTGGCTGCAACAGAGACTATAAATCCCTCCTACGTTTGTCTTAAATGTGTGAAGAATAAACAAGATCCTTCAGATATGGTTGGAGTTTTTGGCAACGGTTGTGTGGACAAAACCATTCAAAGACTGAGTAGTGTAGTGTAGTGTCCTGGCACATGTGTTTTTTAGAGCCCAACAGTTAATTACTTAACAATGCAATTACAAATGATTACACTAAGTAGGTCCAAAGTAACATAGACAGTGTTGACTTCCTGCCAAATGGGTGGATGTATTTTCTTCTCTGTGAAGCATCAGAAATTAGACTAATTGAATCAACATTGTGTCCTGCTCAAGGAGAACCAGAACGAGTCCGATGTCCATATACTAAATTATCACCAGACGTAAAGGCAACACACCCGTCAGTGTTTTGCTATGATGTGTAATGAAGGCACTGACAGCCATGACTTTGTTTACAAGTTTGAAAAATGACAGGGCGAATCTCCGGGAAGCTCTGAGAGTTGTGTCAGAGACAGTTTTAATCTTGGGTGGTCAGCTGCAGTAAAAAGTCATAAACAACTCAAGCGCTGACATATCAGCTCAAAAGTATTTACTGATTGTTGGGGAGAACGTCAATGGACAATGCTGTCTGTCAGTACTGTCCATAGGAAAAGAATCAGAAGAACATTTGGTTCAGCACAGACAGAGCTCCCTAGTTTTTTTTTTGTTTTTTTTTTTTTTTTGGAACACAGTATGAATGTGATGAAGTTAAAAACGTTCAGGGCAGACAGAATCCTGCTTTTCAGACATGCTCACAACGTTATAACAAATCAAATGCAACATCGAAAAACTGTTTAAATACTAGACTAATAACAGATATTATTAAACTGAAGACTTGTTTCTGTATGTGAAGATCTTCTACATCTGAATCCTTTCCCCTTTTTTTTCCAGCACCTTGTGGTGGAAATGTTACAGGATCTTCAGGATTCATCCTCTCGCCCAACTACCCAAATCCTTACCCACACAGCAAAGACTGCGACTGGCTTATCGCAGTACACTCTGACTACGTCATCTCTTTGGCTTTCATCAGGTAATATGAACGTAGTTGAAGTGAAAGGTTGAAAGATTTCCAGTGAGAACGTATCAATCTACACATTAAGTGTGCTAAATGTTCCATATATAGATATATATTGAATATTTAATCAGAATAGTTCATCGTTCAGGTTTTAATTCACTGTTAATAAAGCTGCAAATAGAAGATTTTTACTTCACAGCTGAATAAAAGAGTGGATCAGTTAAACAGAAATAGTGGAGGGCTTAAAAAAAAAAAAAGTGTTGTCCCTTAAATACATGGTCCAGTGGCTTACAAGATGAAGCTTTCCTTAAACCTGTGGTGATGTTTGTAACCTACCTGAAGCAGAATGGAGTCAGTTCTCCGTGGATGCACAGCACCTCGGTCTGTGCTGTGGAATTACTTGTTTTCTGCTGCAGAACCTGGTATAACATCATCACATTGAGCAGGGTTGGCCATGTGTGTCAGGCAGGGTACCTGAGTCTGGGTCCAGGTGTGTTCTGAGATAGTGGAGAAGCAGCCCCCTCCCCCATGCCCCCATTCCCCTCTATACGCACCCCAAAGTCTGGTTTTGCCACAAGCATGTAGTAAAGAAGTGAAACAAACATTTCTGGATGAATAGTGTATACACCGCAGGAACAAATGTGCTTCTGGGTGAAGCTCATTTCTTAAGCTGAGTGATACCAGGAAAACAAGCTTTACATTATTAATTGCCATCTCAGCATATAGCAGCCAGGCTGCCAGAAAACTGCTGATAACCCTCAGGGCACTTCACGCAGGCGGTCTTTTTTTTAAAAATTTTTTTTTAAGCCTATGTATTAATTTCAGAGTCATTTTAATGTATGTTTCAAGAGAAAGAGTCAGATCTACCCTCGGTCCTTCTGCACTCCCACTTTTTTGCTCCCATGCTGATGCACAGAAGGGCAAAATAAACATTTTTTCTTTTCGTTTATCTTGTAACTTGTCCTTCAGATTAAAACGTGTAACAGCGCTACCACAATGTGTCAATCTCCTAGGGGTTTAAAATGAAAGGATGAAGTTATGGGTTTAAATTGGAATTGCCTTGATCTATCTGAAATGCAATTATCTCCAAGCTATTTACATTTTTGTCATAAACCACGCTGCTTGTTTTGAAAACAAATGCCCCCCTCACTCTCGTAGCAGCACATGATTTGATTTACAGCACCACAATATGAAGAGATCCTTTTACACCACGCTGCCACTGTCGTCTGGGAAGATTTGGTGTCACCACAGTGTCACATCAATTTAATATCCTCTCACCTCTTTGGGGAGAAACCTTTTTTTTTGTATGTTTGTCTGTAGATGCATAACAAATCAATTGGTATATGACTCACTCCTGGCACAGTCACATTTTGTGAAATATTCATGCTTTCAAAATCTCCTAGACTGTGATCTGCACTATTTACCTACAAAGACAACCTGATTTTACCTGTTCCCCGTTCTGTTTGCTTTACTCCTCACAGCTTCAGCATCGAACCCAACTACGATTTCGTGTACATCTACGACGGCCCGGACAGCAGCGCTCATCTGATTGGCAGTTTTCAGGACAGTAAACTTCCTGAGAAGATAGAGAGCACTTCCAACTTCATGTTCTTGGCATTTCGTAGTGATGGCTCAGTGAGCTACACTGGCTTTCATTTAGAGTACAAAGGTAAGCTAAAGGAGAAATCTTGTTTTTATAAACTATATACACAAATCCACTGTATCAAATGAATGATGATTAATCTTGGTATGACAAACACAAAAACATGTGTTTATAGCTCTAAAGAAAGACCAATAACAGCAGGTAGATGTGTTTATTTGTGACTAAATCAAAATGATGCGATTAATCCTGAAATTGCACCTACAGTTGAAGCGCCTACTGAGGCATGCTGGGTATTGGGATGATGTTTAGGCTCAGGTGATTAAAATACAACATTTTCCCGCAGTGTCTGTAAATGACAACCTGTGTATTGACTGTGATAAGTGGATGGAAGGCTGAATTATTGGATATACAGTGCGTCTCCTGCTGCCTGTGTGTTAAAATATTTTTTTAAATGAACCAAAGCCATTAGCATGATCTTATAGCACATGTTTTAACAAGTCAAAGACACTTCCTGCTCTGTAGAATTTGTACTTTTATCGTGAGGAAGAGATTTTCCTCTTACTTGGGAGTTTCTTTGATAAGTGTCAGTGTGACAAAGGTTCTGTTGTTCTGATTGACAGCAAAACTACGGGAGGCATGTTTTGATCCCGGGAACGTGATGAATGGCACCCGTATGGGCTCCGACTACAAGCTGGGATCCATGGTGACATTTCACTGTGAGAGCGGCTATCTGCTGCAGGGCTACTCCACTCTGACATGCGTCATGGGCAACACCAAGAGACCAGAATGGGATCGGGCCAAACCCAGCTGTCAAGGTGGGCCAGCAGACAAGACGCTGACAATAACAAAACACATGAGAAGTAGTTAACTGAACTCCAGCCTTTTGGTCAATATTTGATGCTGTGCAAAACCAGAGTGGTGCCACGAAAAAGGAGATGAAGTGTGGTGCACACAGTCTGTAACAGACCACATGAAACTGTATCCAGGTACTTCAAACCTGGATGTCAGTGGGACAAAACAAGTGTATTTCTGAAGAATAACAATTTTGACACAAACACCTGGCTGTTATGCTTCTGCATATCATACAGCAACCCCAATATACATACATATCAATGAAACCAGGGAATTAAAACAGATGTCTGTGGGTTTAAAGTTGAAATAGTCCAAGCACAACAACATAGTTTTTTGGTTTTTTTTTTTTTAATCGCTGGATAGACTATGACTCATCTGAAGTGCGCAGTAGTTAGTGTGGAGTAGTTAGGACAGTTTAATTTAAAGTGCTGATATACAGTGAACTAGCTGAAAACCGGGAAATTTTATAGTTGCTGGGGTTCTAAAATTTTACAATGTCATTCTTCTGCGAAGGCCATAATACACTGTATAAAAAAAACTAAATCTAATGACTTCAGCAACTCCACCGTAAGCTTCTCTTTGCAAGCAGAGCGTGCTTTCTTTCTTTAAACAGAAGGATCCATATTTTATTTTTGCTCATCCCCATTCTGGTGTGGCTCACGCTATTCATATTCAACACGCTGCGGTGATGGATGTGGAAATGAATCCGAGAAAGGAAGGATATTAGTGCAGAATTAGTTCGGGGAAAAAAATTGGAAAGAAATGGGTAAAATAATGGACATTAAACTTTTTTTACGCCAAGAATGAATGTAATTCATCAGCCATGGGAAAGAATTGATATTTATGTTGCTTATTTATATCCAATAGTATCATTATTATTGATAATAATAATAACAATAATTTAATTTTTAAATTTTGTTGTTATTGTTATTATTATTGTTATTACTGGGAGACTGTTGTATTGTACTGAGCCAAGGTGTTAATGTGAGGGCCAGAGCTGACTGTGCTCTCTCTCCCTCTCTCTCTCTCCCCCACCTCTCTCTCCCATAAACATGGATGATTCTGTGGTTTGTGCTTCTCACATTATATCTATAGCAGCACCCACTGCTTTGGTTCATCTCCTGTGCTACTAATCAGCGGAACAGTCCATGACATGTGCAGTGTATGGACCACAGGAGGTTGGGAGCAGCTGGTGACAGCCTTGCTCCAACAATGAGAGAGCAGAGTGTCTTTGTTTACTGTAGAGACTCCCCCACCTGATGGCTCGGTCCAGGAGGTCTGGGACAGTGCGATAGAGGGTCTCCTGGCAAATTAGAAACATCATTAACGAGTTAGGATTGGACTCTGGGATGTGACACAGGTGCAGGAGAAAACACATTTTATATTAATGAACCCCGTCTCCATATGAATATCTGCAGATGCAGTAATCGTGCTTTAATTTTGGGAGTTCTGGGCTTAGAACGCTGATGATAATGTTTGCAGCCAGTAATTTGGCAGCGCAAACTCCATTTCCACATTATAATAAAATGTATATTCTTCTCCGAGATTGAAATGAAATGTGATGGTAAAATTATTATGTCGGCACATTAAAACAAAAGCATCTGGACCCAGTGTCAGCCGAATGACTGAAACTCTGTTTTTAAAACATGCCACAGGGAGATATGGTCTGATTAAAGAATGCCACTGAAGTCTCAGGCATATGCTCATTTGGTGATGTAATATTTTGTTTCCCCTTTTCTTTTAAGGCAAAAAAACCCTTTGTCAGTTTGGGTATTCACCTTGTAAACACAACTCAGACCTCCCTTTTCAGTCTGTCAACAACTTTCTTTTCTTTTGGAAATGTCCCCAAGGGTCTCCCAGATGCCAACATCATTTCAGCATGCTGGCCAAAATTACATTTGTCAACGGCTGAAAGTCCACAGGTCACTTTTCATCTCATTTTATCACATGAACTGCTTATGTGTGCACTTGGGTCTGTGGGAATGCATTTGCTGATTGTTTTTCCTGTTAAATTTCCCCAGGTTTTTTATGCCGGTGGTTTCATGTATTTTGAGCTGTGCTTATTTTGTTGCTTTGCCTCTCGCCCCTGCAGCTCCCTGTGGAGGTCACTTCACAGGTTCAGAGGGAACTGTGCTGTCTCCAAACTATCCACATAATTACACCAGAGGCCAGAGCTGTGTCTATGACATCTTTGTCCCCGGGGATTTTGGTAAGCATTTTAAACATTTTCACAGAAATGCAGAAACACTATTGCTCATATTCTGTTGAACTGACGCTGCTGTGTACAGTGTTTCAAGTATCTAACATTTTATTACAATTAGGTGTTTTTTCAAAATGATAAAGATGATATTACTTGTTTCACATTGTGTATTTCAGTAAACAGAAAAAAAGCATTAAGGATAGTGCAGAATAATGTAATGGAGTGTTCTCTACGAGCTGCTCACAGGTGATGGTGTACTAACAAAGGAAACACTACATTGGAACTCTGTTTGTGTTCATTCATTCTTTTGTAAATTCAAATCGGTTTCCTTGATGGTAACTGCCATTGACACTTAGTTTAAATCCTTGTTTGCTGCAAGACTGGCGTTCAATTCATGTGCGATTGATGATTTTTTTTTATCCCACAAGTGATTTACCATGATATAAAGTCAATGGTTGCACAATAAGTAGACAAAGGTCAGCGATGGCCCTTTCTTTTCCTCTCAGTGGTGTGTGTCTGATGGATTCACATTTTTTAATCAATACAAAATGTTTCACCATTTCACAGCTTTATCCCTTTGGGCCTATTTTCTGTTCTTATGCATGAATTGAAACAGGAGCAGGAGCCTTATCTGGGCCGTGGAAAAAAGTGTGAAGGCCGGGCAAACAGAAATTGATTATGTTGATGTGGAAAAAAAAACCAAAACGCTTTGCTGTAGGTAATAGAGAGGCAGGTCAGGCGCCACAGGGCCGTGGGGAGACGACGCAGCAGAGCACAGGTGCTGGCTGTATCCAAGTACTTCTGTATATACATAATTTAGCAAAGATCTTTACGAGACCACGAACGCTTCCGCTCAGTATTCCACGTTGGTCACAGAGAGATGCTGAAATAGTTGGCCAGGTGTTCTGATGCTGTAAAGCTCTATTGTTTTAAAACACAGGTTAATCCGTTGTGTGATGATCCAGCATAACAGTTTACGTCCCCCTGCTGTCGCACGCCACCGCTCACGATATCAGAAATCCTCAGTTTGTTTTTAAATGTAAAAATGACACGGAAATGTAGCGTTTGATTCTACTGCCTGCCAAGACCTAATGGAGTGTGAACGTCCATGAGACTCAACATTCCACTAGAGCCTGCTGGTTAACAGCAGGCACCACAGGCACAGGGGACAGTGAAATGTCCGACTGTGGGTGCATGCTGCATGTTGTTATTATTATTATTATTATTATTATTATTATTATTATATAGAACATAATCTTCCAACAACATTCACAATATTGCACTGCACTATGAGTCATTTTTACTAGTGTATTTACCAGTTTATTTCTGTTTCTGACATTTATTTTCATTACCTGCTAATTACATGAGGACATTGAGTAAATACTTGAGGAAGCTAAGGATCAGTATCATAATTAATATTGATAATTTAGAAAAAAATAAGGAAATTCTGTTTTGCCTTTCCAGGTAGGCTTGATATTAGGCTTACTGTTGGGATTTAAATTAGTTTTAGCCTAAAGGCAGTGTAATAGCAAAAAGTCAAATTAAAATATTTTTTTGGGTATGGCCAAAATCCACAAAAACCTTTTGTGTTTCAATGAACCTTACCTTTCTGAAATTACACTTTACATTCAAAAGCACATTACATTGTAAATACTGAGGATAGAGTAACAAACAGATACCATCCTCCCTTTTATATTTTTAGGCCTTTTAGAATCTGTGAGCCAGGTTCATGTGGCAAAATAAAAAAAAATAGATTTTTTTTATTGGTTTTAGAACACACTAATACTGGGTTCATCGATCAGCAGTTGAACTAATAAAACATAAGGGCAACAAGGCTGCTAATGAAAGAAGGATCAACTCTGCAAACAGCTCTCTGCAGGCAAAGGTCGGCCTCGGTTGAACACTTAATGCTGAATATTGCAAGTAAATTATCTGATTTTTGAATTTTTCAAATATGCTCTTCCTAATGCACTGTAGCTTGAAAAGATGACTTTTCAATTTAAAGTTAAACCAAACTGTTGGAAACTGCTGCTCAGTGTTGCCATCACGGATATCTGCATTTCAAGTTAGCTTAGCACAGACTGTGCTGCTGCTGTAACAATGTTATTCAAAACTGTTATTGTACAAGCTGAAAGTCTTCATACATTTTTTTTTTTTTGCAAATTCTACAGATTGTCTGAGCCCAACCTTGGGTTATCAATATTAGCATTAATGCTTAGGTTAGCATTATTATTTTGTGTTATTCACATCATGTCATCTGGTTAACTTCAGTCAAATGATACGATTTTCAGATTGCAAATATTTTTTTTTTTTACAGCTATTAGACATTGTTCACCTTTCCGATTGCAAATATTTTTTTTTTTACAGCTATTAGACATTGCTGTACTCACGCTTTAGTTTTAGTGGTATTACCCACCTATAAACCCCCAATAAACCTAATCAAACTCACTTGACAAAAATAATGTATTTAATTGTTTTATTCATTGGACCTAAAACAAACTGAGTAAATCCCACAGTGAAAATAATCACGTTCCTTTGAACTGAAGAAATCTTAATTCACGCCACGTCCCAGTTCTTTTTGATTTGGGTTTAAGGCCAACGGGAAAGCTGAGGAGTTCTCTTGATCTTTGAGAAAAACAGACACAGTTGACGTAAACTTGGGTTTAATTATTTTCACAGTGCAGCCTTACAGTCCTTTCAGATGTGGCTGCTCATCCTACTGACAGGCTTTTAAACAGGGTTTTTAAACATTCTTTAAATTTAGCTTTATCATTTGCAGTAGAATAACATCTGTAGTTATTTGTAGCCTTCAGTAAAGTTGATGAACACATTATAGTTTGGTTCCTTTGGAAATTAAATTATTGTTAAGTGTTGTAGAAATAAAATCAGCATTTTTAACTTGTGTTTTGTCATGGGCACTGTGCACAAGGTACCTTAACCTCCAGCAGGTGGTTGTCAGTGTACAGGGCGATAACGGAGGCTCACGTGTGTGTTGTTGATGTTTTACTATCCTCGTCTTGTATCTACTGTAAATGTCAGGGTTACTGTTTTGCTGACTAAATAAAAGTGAGAGTTACTCCAAACTGTATTTGCATAGACATATGCGATAAAGAGGTTAGACATCGTAAACTTCAATGCAGCTGCGAGAAAGCACTGCAGTGTGTTGTATTGAAATTCTGCCCAAAATACCACCGTAGGCGTGCACATAAATCCTTGCCTTTTGCTGCTCTTTTGTTATCGATACTTACAGGTTGTGTACCTGCTCTTTTGCTCTTATCCATCTGCTGCAGTACGTACTAATATTGACATTCATATACTGTATTTCAGGGAACGATCATAAACTGACGATAAAAACCAGAGCCTAAAGCACACTGTGTGTGGAGACTGTATATCTGCGATTATTTGTGGGCCATCATTCCTCTGTGCACCGCCGCTCGCACGCACCGTGCAAAGCTTATTTTACTTTGCATCATTCAGATGTCATTAAGGTACAATGTGCATCTGTCTTGCCCTTTAATGTTTAATTATTCTGTCAGGAATAATAGTTGAAGTCATATTTCAAACAATAACGGAGCTTCCTTTTAAAGAGCTGAATTATTCATGGAATTCAACTTTTGCCAGTGGCACTGCATAAACATACAGACATGCAAAGCCCCCTGGGAATTCTCTTTTGTTTACACCCACTTCAGTGGCTAGGGTTTACATTGTCTCCTGTACTTTGCATAGAAATGTGGTGTTTTGTTACAGTATGAACGACTGAAAGTGCCCGTATCCCGAAGGTGTGGTCAGTTGTAGGGCAGCAGACCCTATATTTACAGGGGATTAATGACTAATGATGCTGATATTTTTCTGTCTGTATTTTTACGTCTGCCTGTTTAAGGTTGGTATCTTTTTTTAAAATTCATAAAAGAAAAATTTATTTATTTGAAAAATAAATCCAATTAACTGAAAAGGTCAAATTTGTAGTAATTCTTGTAGAATTTTTAAAAAATACACATCTTTGCTCACATGATACTTAAGTTAAAAATACTGAACATTTTAACTCCTTCATCACTGCTTTTACTCACCTTTCCATGGTGTTCTCGGTTCCATATACTGTATATTTGTATTTCTCTACAACAGTGTCTCCAATGTGTGCGTAATGGTTCCCTCAGAATTTGTCAGCTGGCGAAGCCAGAGCTTTGACACATTGCAATAATAAATCTCAGCTCTAACAAGATGGACAGAGAATGGGAAAGAAATGGTGTAAGGGAAACAAGAGGTAAAAGGGAGTGATTCTAACTACAAGACAGAGGAACATAGATCTCAGCTGAGTGCAGGGGACTCAACGAGAACAAGTTGGATGGAAGGTGTGATAACGAGTGAGAGTTCTAATGAGATAAACAAGGGCACGAGGCAAGAGGAGCTGAGAAATGGAGCTGCTGAGTGCGATCATATTATCGTTGCCCTCGGGGGCTAATTGTTGACTCATTAGTAGCGTGAACTGAACATACCTGGGGCTTTTCTAGCACATGACTAACTACAGTCACCACACCAAGGACGTTAGCTCATCATTCAGCACCATCCTAGAGTACAGTACAAACAGTACAGTCAGGGTGATTCAGCTAAAGAGGTACATTTGGATCGTTGTTGGCCTCTGTGCCCTGCAGGGGTTGCTGTCGACACACTTTGAACGCCCTGGCCTAGTGATTAAATGTACAAATCAGGATAAGATTCATTGACATCGCACATATAAGGCGCCGGTCGTCCAAAAAAAAGAAATATTAAAGAAAACAATAAATATGATGCTCTGTCAAAAAATCCAAACATTCTAGGTTTGTCCATGAGCTGATCCTGACCCTCCCCCACTTCTTGCTTGTTTTACTTTGATTTTAATAAAAGCTAGAATCCTTCGATGTGTATTACCTATTATCTGTAGATGGTTTAAATCCAGAAATAAACTCAACTATATGGCAAAAATAGAAATGTGAAACTAAAAGGAAAAAGACTTCGATCAACTCTTTGCCCTT